TTAAGCGTGTCTGATCTCGAGTGGATTTATTTAAGTGAAACAATTCACGTCAAGTGCTTGACAGGGCTTACAATTCCACTAGTCGTGTTGGATATCGCGAATAACGTATTGCACTCGGAGCGGTACACGCATTCACTACTGATTCACACCGCCAGGGTTTGGTGTAGCAAATTCATTCGGTCTTTTACACAGATCCACGTTATGCTGCATGCGACTGATTCCACACCTTACACTCCACACAACTCCATCGATTTGCCAAGTCAACAATTCACAGGCTCAACGCAAGTTCAAAGTCATTCTACGCCCTAATTGAATTGTGTCAGTCTGAAGCTAAAGGCATTACACATCCTACGTGTCTGGGACGATATTGCAAGCGAGTCCCGACATATCATGAGGATGAGGGTAGTTTCACTATCCAGGACATACAGAGAATACGACTTTGCAGTAATTTAACTGCGTATAGAACCATCAGAGAAGTGATTTGATCAGTTGTCTCCAAAAAAAAAACTGATGACATATCACACTTGATCACTTTTATCGATTCTGGTTTAAAACACGTAAAGCACATCTAATTTTCTGCATTCCCGTTTGGATACAAGTTAACCAAGAAATTACTTACGCCTTGGTTGGTTTTTTTAAGTCGGACAATATAATGCGAGAGGTCCCAATGGTAATTGGTGAAGCCGCCAAAGCCGATTCGGCTGCAGACAATGTGCCAAAGGTGACGGATCCCTGGCCATTTGTGTGTATCCCGTCAGATTCGAGAAAGCGCTGGATCTCACCAACAGGGCCAAAGGCCGAAAGTGCCTTTCTCAAATCCGTCTCCGTTAATTTGGTCTTAATGCCAGCGAGTAACACGCGGTATCCGGCATTAGCATCTGCAACTGGTACGCCAGTTGAGTGACTTGATTAACACAAGAGGCAGACCAAGAGAGCGTGGCAATTTCATGCAACTACATCATGCAAACAGTCTAAACAGACTAACCACACAAATGTGACGTTCAATACCAGATCTGTCGATTCACACACACCACATAGACCAACCAAGACATAACGGCAGCTATTTACCAACCAGTCCCAGTTTGGATACACACCAAATCAAAGGTAATTTCAACGCATAACAGATAAGCTTCCTGAGGAATGGTCGCATGACAGCGATTTCAGTGACCCACGTAAGTCAGCTGTGTGAAATTAAAGCACGGCTAGGGATTCTTCTTGAGCTCTAATTAGGCGAATTAGGTACAGCGGATAGGATTTGACGCCATCTAAAAATTTCACATTTACAAATAAGGACCATAGCAGGAGCAGTCAAGACTGTGAGCACCCACAGCAGTATCACGAGTTACCTCAACTGTCGTCGTGAGTAATATGGACTTAAGTGGCTACGCTTTAATGAAATAATGTCGTGTGTAATTGACAGGCGTTACTTTTTAATTCGTCGTTTGCGATCTCAAAAGCTATGTGAAACACTCCTGGTGCTTTGTAGTATTGGAAAGCTAAGAAAAATGTACTCCTAATTCACGTCGAAGGGCATTCAACTCGGCTCTGAACTGCACAACAATGTTCGAGAAAATTCAGAGGCTGGAAATTTCGAACTACTGACTAGCACGAGTGATAAAAACAACGGCAAAATGCACTGAAACAAGTGACATTATCCCTACGAAGCGTGAGACACCACGAACACAACATCTTTGGTCAGTCGAATTCCCAGTAGGTTGCAAATGAACAAGACTTACCTCGCAGTTCCCGTCGTGGATTCCTTTGCGCAAGCAGATGCCTTTGTAATTTGGGTGCCGTTTTCTACTCTGCATCAACGCGCAAACAAACCAGAATAATGTTACTAATAGAGATGATAAAGATGATATTGGTCCCGGTTAAGACTATCCTACCTCTTAACCGAAGCATTCCCTAATGCGTCCCTGCGCCAGTCGTCGTCTACAACGTCCGATTCAGAAGCGATGGTCGATGCATAGACTAAACGAGTTGATTCAAGTCTTGTGGACAACTAAGGAAGGAAGGTGTGAAACGACATGACAGAACTCAGACATGTTTGTGGATGTCGTCAGCAGCAGTCCTTTACATCTCAGGTCTGTGAAGAATGCTTTGTAGGGTCAATTTTAACCACTGCGCAATTAATTAGATTAAGTGGAAAGTGAGGAGCGAAATGCAGATTAAGAGGGCTAGCGGAGTTTGGCAAAAACGCTTTTTTGAAGTAATCAAAATACTCAGCCAGTCCTGTGCCGATTCACGACAAACACGCATTTTCAAACCTTAATTACACAAAATTAAAAAATAGAATACGCGTGTCCATCTCAGGATCAAACCTAATTAGGCTATTGCCAAATCATTGCACTGTACGACATCTATTTTACGATTGCTGCGACCAATGATAACAAACCATTGATCAACCACCCGATGTAAAAGATATGGCTTGACTTCAAAGTGGTCGGCGTTCAACGAATCCATCATTACAATTACTATTTAAAAAGCCTCGTATTTAGCAGTTAGTATACTCTCTTTTCGAAATCAACAGTCTTGCAAGTAGATTTTGGCATCAATTTTCAGAATTAAATCCGCTAAGGTTACTTGCAGTTGAAACCCACACCACATTTGAAAAACTCAATAGAGTTAGGGATATGCACGCGGTGAACGCATTTACAGGCTCATAATTGCTAAAGGGCTGCCACTAACCAATTTGAAAGCGTTGGACACCGACAGCAACTGCAGTTGAGACGATGACTTCGCGGTGAGGCATTCGATTTCATTCAGTTCCTTTATTAGAGCCTGCCCTCTTTGCCGGTAATGCATAAGCATCGTCAAGTCCTTTACATAAAAATACAGGGACTCCTGTCAATTTCATGCAGAAATTAAGATCAAATGCTAGTTATTTGAAAATGCGTGGACAACTCCGTCTCTAAATCGATTGTGTGACATTAAATAGCATTGATTGCTGTAATTTCCACCATTTTAAACGCGTAAAATTGTACAGGCACCACACATATCAACGCAAATTGAAACAGCTGAGACATAGGCGACATTAGAGCAGACAGAATGAGCACCTCTTGTGGCAAAGCAACATATTATCGCCTATTTGCTATAGAGCTTGCGATTGCACCACGCATGTGTGAGTTAGTATCGACACCAGTCGGTGCTACAAAACTAGATCGTCTAAAAACAATAAAGACATTCGAAAATGTGATAAGTGGTCATGTTTGGGCTGATTAATCAAAGCATGTGGTGTGAAAATATTGTATTACGTCTAAATTAATGCAGCATTTTGAGTGCAATGTCAAGAGACACACCCCATATCCACAAGATAGGTAAAAATATTGTTCCAACCAATCGAGTTCTTTGCAACATCTATGAATTCGACTGGCTAGCTTATTGAGAGATGCACTTTCGTGTTTTTCAATTTGGTCGAGGTCGTCAATGGCCCTAGTAAAAGCATTAACAGCGGCTCGTTTGAGGTCCTGTATTGCAACATCAATTTCTTGCTCCAGTTTGTGTGGGCGGCTGGATGACAAAAGCTGCTGTCTCTGCTGCCGAAGTTTTTCTGCAAGTTCATCCAACTACGGACGGAGGAGAAAAGTGGGTATTTAACCATAAAATGGCTTGAAAACATTGGCATTGTTAAGGGTATGATAAGGATGGAAATTCATAGAGTCTAATTGAGAACCCATAAATATCCCAAGGACAAGTGTATTACACAGACACTTTTATCAAGGGGTGGGCATGAGGATTTGGAATGTCAAAATATTTACCGCATTCAAAGATCCATAGGCAACTGTTCATACTAGGAAATAGAAGTTCGTGCAAACTTCGAAACCATCTTACATTCCTCACGTTTACACTGACAATATATACTTAGAAAAGAAGCACACTCTTCGTTATTTCCCATGACTACATGAATACTTTCTTGAAATCCATCCTTTAAACAATTTAACGGTCCAAATTTAAGCGTCGTGAGATTGTTCTTGAAATCTCCCACAGAATCAAATTTTGCTTCAGTATTGATTTCTTGGAAATAAAGCAAACGAACACGTAAAAATGGTTGCCTTAAAACAATAAATTCAGTTAACGTGCCAATATCTCGCCTAAGAAACCCATACAGTGGTAAACTGTGATTAAGTGTTGAATAAATGTACTGGCACAATTAATAATAAAGTCTCCATATTTTATTCATCCTTATGACTCAAATAAGCGACTTGAATATCTTTCGCAGCAGTTTTAACACTGACGCCTTATGTAAACACATTTAACAAAACATAAATAAATGCAACCTATAATTTATCATCTTTAGCATTCACGAGGAAAGAAGTAACTTACAACAAAGGTTTTAAGACTTGTCTGGCTCACGACACACAAGTATTACAATTCGATTAGAATAGGAACACCATCACAATGACCTGTGCGTGTTCCCTATCTTACTGAAACTTATGAATAAAGCTCTACAAGCAAACAATACAAACCACACTTACATAAAGATTTTATCTGCAATCAGTATTTCCAGACTTACAAATATCGTTGTACTCGCCGGTATAGTTATATTGGTGTTTCTTTTGAACGAGGAGAACAGGTACATGCTTCTGAATAAATTACAAAAAAAATATTAATGCGATAATGTAAGCATGTTGCGGTCCGTTTTTAAATGCATACAATATTCAATTGAGTGTACGACTAATACGACATTGCGTTTCAAAGTCATAAATGTGATTCTCAACGTCGTAGATTTTTTAGCGCATATTTAGGTCAATATGTCTGTGGGGTCGCGAAAAACCACTAAACACTAAAGACGACAAAGGACTGCAGACATGTCAGGCACAAATACTTCGTAACCGTGTAATCATCGATCAAGTAAAGTTGATACCATGGTAATTGTAACACAAATTATTTACTATCAAGGACTGCAGACATTTCAGGCACAAATACTTCGTAACCGTGTCCGATTTTGTGTAAGCGGCAATCAGCTAAAGTCGACACCATGGTAAAAGTGACAAAAGTTATTAACTATTAAAAACAACAAGTCATATCAAGGAACAAAATGAAACTTAAGACGTACCAAAAGTATTTCACTTGCGAATCTGATTATAGCGCGTCAATTTAGCATTATCCCAAGGTCAATAATCGTTCTTTATAAACGCAATGAACTTCTTTTGAATAATTGTTTCTTGTGGAATAACCAAATTATTTTTAAGTATGTATAATTGAAAGCTGCTACTAATTTAAAGACTATTAGGTTACTTAGTAGTAGGTATCGTGGTTAATTGTTTGTTCTGTGATGTTGGACATTGATAAGAAGCAGTCATAAGTAAATATTAGAATGGTCAAATGTACAATTTTTTTGGTAGAGGCACACTGCTATTGAACTATTTTATTATTTTATTATGCGCAACCACATGATCTTTTTTTAATGAGTGAGAACGATTATTTGGTCAATAATGCTTTCATAGTAAATCTGAGGCACTCTGTTCCTGCTGGCAATCATGGCCCACAAACATTATTTCACACTGCAGGTTGGTTTGCTTTTAAAATTAAATTAAAACCACTAGTCACAGAGCTATACCATAAACGAGTCGTTCGACTGTGGATTAAATGTATACAGATTAGATACTTGACGAGGAGTTACATTTCATTCTCCTAAACTGATAATAAATTGTCGACAGCCTCCTTTATTTTCTTGTTCTTGAATACCAGAATGCAAGACCGAATTAAGCTATTTGTTTTACCATTTCGAAGAAGAGGCAAGTCGTTGCTGTTGGTACAATGGATTCAAGTAATTATTTTCTATCATCTTTATCTCTTGTGCGATTGCAAGTCTGAGGTCAATTATTGTTTGAATGGTGAAAGATTCGCACGCTCCTTTTGATTGGGACCAAAAAATTGATGACTTGCTAATTAATCAGAACTTGGCTTAATTGTCTTCCGACCAATAGAGGTGATGTTCGATTTGACAACTAGAAAGACCCTAAGATCTCCCGATTTCAACATTTTGGTCTCTGAAATTGTTCGATTACCTGATTGTTAGTATGGGATTATGTGTCGTCATCCCTCTTCAGAACATATACTAATTATGGATGATGTTGCGCTTAATCAAGCTCTGAGAGTTCGGCACATTCCCAAAGTAAGACAAGACAAACAGGACAAGACCGTCTAAGCCAAAGGGTTCAGGTCAGCCTATGCTGCTATTGTGAAGGCGGCCTTAGGTGCATTTGAAAACGATAAACTCAGAGATTGCGAGGACGAATGCGAAGTAGACAATTAACATGAATACAAAAGTGGTATGTAAAAACACATTAATGTAAACGAAAAATCAAGGAGAATTCAGAATGTTGAGAAGAAAATCGTAGTATATACTGATACCTCAACTGATATATCTCTTCCAGATGTAAACAGAGCTTCTTGCTTCGATAGATCTGGCATAGTTTTTGCTGTCGCTGTCTTCGGAGACTTTGTCGTGGCCAGTCCTCTAATCAATAGCCTCACTGTATTGTGTTTCGCCATGGAAGTAGAGCCTCCTACTAGAGTTAATTGGTGAAAGATTTCTATTTTTCCCGACGGAGTGACTGTGAATTCTTAGGTTGCGTAAAACTGCAGACATCCTGTGTGAGCATTAATACTGGCGGTTGCGAAATTTTGACGTTATTGTTCCTTATACTAAAAGGTGGCCACTGTGCTAAGCAAAGTAATGGTGTGCTCGTCTGTGTTAGACGAAAAAAAGGTACTATACCCAACTGTTATCTATGACCTTGTATTGCCGGCCGCTGCTGAGGAGTGTCTAGTGCTCCTTTTTGGGTAACTTTGATCTGGTTGTCTCTTATTTATTTGCAAACGCTAAATAGTGGTGTGTCAGAATCAGGAATATCGTGAGACTGGTGAACCGCGGTATGCCTGAAGCCACCAAAAACACTTAGGTCATTATCTTGCACTGTTTAAAAGCGCTTTTTCTGCAACGTTGACCAGTTAAAAGAATATGTCAGTGCACCTTAAAGATCGCAGGCTCCAAATGAGAATAAGTAATTTATATTGTTCGTCGTTGAAGTACTTTAATATGGTGGGTTGTTCGTTGTGCTCGTTTAAAATAAAACGATGACTAATCGTTTACAAAAGCTGTACTTTTACGGATTTTGGTCCAAATTCAAAGTCAAGGTCAACTGTTTCTTGATATGCACCCAAGTATAAATGCCTGGATGGTCATTGTCCAATTACTTGATGCATTAGCAATGAGAGATGGGTTGATAGTGTGGACAAAAGCATTGTGTGACTCTTTTGCTGCGAATGTGTGCTCTGAAATGAAGATGAATGCTATTGTCTGATAGCTGATTAATTACAATACACACACACAATATTTACTGTTAGCCAAGATCAACCAAAATGTGTTCGCAGAATATGGTTTCTTGATTCAAGTGTAATGGGCTTTGTTGGGGATCCTCGATTCCCCAGGATTAGTTTCTGATTCTATTTACATTAATTTATTAACATTTGTTTTGTTACGCTTTTATCAAGTCAAATTACTTTCGATTTCACATCTTCTCTGCACGTGGCTGGCGTGAATAAAGCTCTCTACTCGAGCTCTGGTCTTGTTCTTGTATTAGCCCGGGAAGGTCAGTTCTAGCTTTCAGCAAGGGATCTGGTACCGTTGTTTTAGTGGTGTTCTCTATTACTATGGGCAAACGTAACAAACTTAATGTAGCTTCAGGCAAGTGTTCATGCATTTTAGTGCAGTGAAACCTAAGGGGTAGCTGGCTAACATCAGTAGTGTGTGTGTGTGTACGGAGAAAAAGGGTGTACTCGAACAAACGACCTTTGACACATCC